GAACATCAATCTGGTTATCAGTATTAAGTTGAACTAAAAATTAGTGATATTGAAGAGATACCTAGCTCTGCAATCACATCATTATATAGATGTGTATGCCAAAATAGCTATACAAATTTTTTTGGCCCACAAGTTTTAAGCTAGAATAATCCTAATATTTTAGAACAATCATTAACTAGTATTGAATTTCGTTCATTTCTGATAAGAATCGACAAATATATTATATATATAACTGCTTTGGGATATTCTAATGAAGCTGAGGTTGAAGTTAGATATACTGTGATATTTACTAGTGAACATTTAGGCAAATGTGCAAAATATACCTAATATATTGATTTAGATAGATATCATATTGAAATTTATCAAGATGGTATGTTAAAATATTAATTTATTAGTAATACTCCAAATGAAGTTTAGAAGGTATCTAAAAAATTAAAAAAATTTCATAGAACTCAACTTTTTGAATTGGAATACTCATTAACACATTAAGCTTTATCTAAGTAACAAACTTCTAAATGTGATGAATTTTATTGGTATAACAAAAATATTATGAATCATCCTTCAATCATTTTCTTTGTCATTATACTATTTCTAGTATTTAATAGTATAAGTTTTTTATTAATTAGAAAAATAGTTCAAGTACGATAATAGAATTTTATAATTCTTTAGTATTACTTTATCCCTCACAATATATATTTAATGATCATGAACTTTGAGCATAGAAAGTACTACTTAAAGTAGCTAGTTGTCATGAGATAACTCTATTTACAAAAGATTAATCTAAGGTAAATTGTTATGTATACTTCAATGTTTTAGCGAAATCTAATTTTGCAGATTATTTGAAGATCAAATTGGGTGAAAATAATTTCAGAGGATTTCAGACTTATAGGATGAAACTAAAATTCCTTTGAGCGAAATGTTTTGGATTTGGAAAATAGTTTCGCTCGAAACACTGGTATACTTATAATTCTTATAACAAATTATTTCTAGTATTTTTATATTTTGTCTTTGCTATACTGATCTGTTCTCTATACCATAATAATCATAGTTTTAATTGTTTTCAATAAAAAAAATTTTATTAAAAAAAAAAAAACAAAGGTTCAACTTTGGAGTCATTCATTAGATGCATCACAAGATTAACATACTCTTACCTAACTATATTCTCAAGGATTGCTAATATTATCATCAAATAATACAAGTGACCAATTATGGAAAAATTTTAAGAATGCGTATAATATAAATAAGAAAAAGCAAGATAGATGTATTTAACTTCTATCAATAATTTCAGATAAATTTACCTATGCTGAGTTGGAAGAAAAACTTAGTGTAAGTTAGTATATTTTAAAATTAGAATATATAAAAAAATGCATAAAACTTATCTAAATTTATACTATATTAGATTTCTTCAAAAACTGTATCTAGTGCTCGATTATATGCTGCTATTAATAGTTCTAGTTGTCTTGCATTATGCAAGTCTATAATAACAAGAGTACGATTATCAAAAGAATAACTTAACCAATTTATAATATTTTTACTTGACAAAAATATCATGACTCCAAGTTCTTATAAAGTTGATGCAGCAACTAGCTTGCCTATAATGTATTTAAAAGATACTAAAGAATTACTTTAATACCCATTTCTTGAATTGCATCCAAATAGAATGAAATGAACAGCTTTTATGACCTATTTGGAAAATAGTAGATTTGTTTATCATAATGATTGTGGTGAATTGTGCCTAATCTGTAATGAATACAGGTTTAGTGTTTTTGAAAATATAGTTACAATTGTTCATGAAAAAATTGAAAAAAAAAATCTACAGGTTCACTATATTATAGTAAAAAAATTATAAAAAAATTTAATTGATATTAATTTTTGAATTAAATCTAGATAATTAGAATAAAATAATAGCTTAGCTTGAATTAATTCAATGTCATTTGAAATAAGAATATGAAAAAGAATTGTTAATAAATATCTGCGAGCATTTTCAGCATGATAATTGTATTGAACATTGTTTAAAATTTGTATTTGAAAATTGTAATGAAGAATATTCAAAACACTGTGAAAAATGTAGCAAAGTCAATTTTATTTTTTAACAAATTCTGCAAATTCTTTCTAATAAAAGAGAATTAATAATTGAGAATTATGCAAAACTACAATATTACTTGGCTTACCAAGTTAGAAAAACTTATCTTAATGCATAGTTTAATATAGCATTAAACCAATTAGATGAAAATAGTACTGTTATCGTAGCTGACTATAAAATAAAAATTTTGCTTCAATCAGCACGAGAAGTTAAATCAGATTTTTTTAGAAAAAAGGGATATACATTACATACATTACTAGTATATACAAAAAAATCTAATTATTCTACCTTATTAAATATCAAAGTTTTAGATTATTAGTCAGTTGATCCAACACAAGATACATAGTTTATTGCATCTTCTTTTGATGCTTTGTTTTCTACAATAGAAAAAAACCTTACTGAATAGAAATTCTATCCGACAATAGTCCACACTACCATAATAAAGAACTAATAATGATTATTAGCTAATAGTTCAAGTGATATAATATAGAAGTAAAATCATGGATTTTTTTAGAACCTGGTGAAACTAAAACAATAGTGGATTCCTATCATGCACAGGTAATAATTAGCAAATTAATAAAAAATTTTTTTAAAAAAGCAATTACAGTGGGGTACCATATTATTATGGACACTTTTTAAAAATTTATATTAATTCAAATAAATGCAGTATTAAGCTAAA